ATACTTGATCCTGTTGCTTGTGTGTTTTATATATCAAGGTTAGCAGTAATATGATTTTCAGTTGTTTTTTTTTCCTTTGGTGGAAAACCACGTACCACACAGTCACCGTCTTTGTCCCCATCAGATCTGGCCACTCACTCAGTGTCTCTCAATTTGGTCAAAATACTTTAAAACACTGTCAGGAAAGCCCAGCTGCCCTGTACCCTGAGCCCTGAGTCCTGACCTCACACTGTGGCCCCAGCGCCCCCTGCCGGTCCTGGGTGTCTCAGCCCCCTCTCCTGTCCCTCCAGGGTCAGTGTCTGGGCCACACTTTCTCCCCCAGTGTCCTCCACAGTCACACAGGGCCGTGACCTTGGGTTCAGCAGCCCAGTGCAAGGAGAGCTGGTGGGGCTGGCAGCAGAGATGGAGACGGGCCTGGCGGGGGGCTGCCGTCTGCGCTCCAGGGTGACCTGAACTGGCCACAGTGGTCCCCGCTGCCCTTCCCAGGACACTGGCGGATCCAGACACACCACAACTGGAGGGAACAGACCCTGAGACGGCACTGGGGGCCAGAGTGCTGGGGCTGCCCAGGACATGACATCCGGAATTAGGAGGAGCCTGTCAGTCTTCTGTTGCCCCTGACACACACCCGGGCCTGGCCTAGCCCCTTCCTCCGTGGGAACCCCCAGGACACACATGGCCAGCCCCAGCAGCTCATCCTTCTGGACACGGCTCAGTGTTGCCAGGACCTGACCCTGTGTAGCTGAGAGCTCTGACCTCGTCCCAGGGCTGACCAGAGCTGAGGGGGTAGTGTAGGCCGACCCGGTGTGTGGGGGGAGTCTGACACCAGGCAGGAGGCCTCTGCCCCACCCTGCACCTGCTCCTGGCTGTGCTCTGTGCTCTGAGCCTCCTGTGCCTCTGCTGTCCTGGGCCCCTGGGTCCTGACCACGACCCAGTGGACCTGCCCAGAGGGCACAGACACTGGACACAGCACAGGTGGGGGGCAGGTTGTGGTGTTGGCACCAGCCTGAGCCCCGTGTTTTGCATCCAGGGGGACACCTGAACTGAGGGGTACAGTGGGGCCATCCCTGTACGTGGGGGCTGTTCGGGTCTGTCGTCCTCTGGGCTCACACCTCACCCCTGACTCATGGGACAGGCCCTGTCTGCGGACAGACATGTGGTCACAGAGACCTGCCTTCTGGTCCCCCATCAGGGTCATGGGACGGGGAGGCCACAGTCACGTCACCTCCTCGGACCACTCCTGTATTATAAAGAGATTCACAGCTGGTGCAGAGCATCGATTCCCTGTCTGACACCCAATAATGATGCAGCGTTCCCCGTGTGACGCTCGAGTTCACGCACATCACGCCGAGACTCTGGGTGGGGGCGACCCCCAGCACAGAGCCGCCCTCGGCTTGTGTCCTGGGGACACGCTGATGTCACTGCTGCTGAGTGACTCCTGCGGCCGGGGAGGGAGGGGCCTGTCGTGTGGTGCAAGTTTATCTCCTGTGACTTGTTATTTTTTCATATGAAATTTCAATCATTCATTACATTATCTGTTCAACGTGTTTATTTTTTAATTTTAAAATAAAATATTTATTTATGCACACAAAACTAGGGTACAGGCAGAGTTGTGGGGGGCGAGGACTCCCCAGGACAGAGCGGGGAGCAGACAGGCCATTAACTGGAGCACACTGCTGAGGGGGCCCTGGGGGCGGGGTCTGCTGCGCCCCGGGGGTCACTTCCCGCAGGAATCAGGGCCCCAGCGGCTGGGGCAGCCTCACTGTCTGCGGCTAAACCCCTGGCGCACCAGGAAGAACCATGGATCAGCCGTTTTATTCCAGATATTTGCGTTAATTTTTTCATACACCTTAGATTTGTCCATGTTCTCAGAACAATCTTTCAAATATCATATTGACACTCGGGGACCAATACTCTGTTCTGGCCTCTCTGTGCTCCTGTGACCGTCAGACCCTCCCCCAAGTCTCCAGGTCACTCATGTCGTGTCCAAGGCCTGTCCACCTCTTCCCCAAGCAGAGGCCCTGGGCATGGAGCTGAGCCCCAGACAGGGCACCTGGGAAGACCACAGCTTGCTGGGTACAGGGGGGAAGGAGGAGGGATCTCAGCCAGGGGCACCTATCCCGAATCCCCTCCCCTCCCCTGCCAAAGCACCTTCCTGCCCAGTCTCCCTCCCTAACACCCTGCTGTCAGGTGACCCCTCAGGACCCTGGCCCAGGTGTGTGGGGGGACCAGGCCCTTCGCGCAGCCCCAGGACCTGACATGGGCAGGACGTCTGGGCTGGGTCAGCAGCAGGTGTGGCTGAGGAGCTGTTTCTTGTCCATCTTACTGAACTCTGCTTCTGTCGAGCTTCAGGGAGATTTGTTGAGAAGAAAATGCCCAGGTCCTGAGAACAGGAGAAGGGTCTAGTCCCTGGGCAGGTCTCAACAGTGAGGAGACAGTGTCACCTCCCCCATGTGAGCTCCCCAGGAATGGGGGTGGGAGCCTCTCAGAGAGGAGCAGTGACCCCTGGGGAGCTGAAGCCTTGCAGAGGGAGCCCCAGGCAGGAGGCCCCTGCCCCAATCTGCACCTGCTCCTGGCTGTGCTCTGTGCTCTGAGCCTCCTGTGCCTCCTGCTGTCCTGGGCCCCTTGGTCCTGACCACGCCCCAGTGGACCCGCCCAGACCCCTCCTGTCCCTGCAGGGTTTGTGTCTGGGCTCACACCTGCTCCCCTCACTGTGTCTCTCGCACAGTAATACACTGCCGTGTCTTCGGGCTTCAGGCTGTTCATCTGCAGATACAGCGAGTTCTTGCCGTTGTCTCTGGAGATGGTGAATCGGCCCTTCACGGCGTCCGCGTAGTATGTGCTACCACTATTGCTATTGATGTATGCAACCCACTGTAGCCCCTTCCCTGGGGCCTGGCGGGCCCACTGCATGTAGTAGCTGCTGATGGTGAATCCCGACGCTGCACAGGAGAGTCTGAGAGACCCCCCAGGCTGCACCAAGTCTCCCCCAGACTCCACCAGCTTCTCCTCACACTGGACACCTACAAACACAGACACAGCAGTCAGGACACTGGCTCTCGGATACTGCTTCCACCTCCTGTCCCCTCCCCTCTTCAGGGTCTCCCGCTCCCCATCACTGACCCCCTAGAAGAGCCAGGAGGAGCAGCCAGCTCAACCCACGCTCCATGGTGAGTGTCCGCATCTGTGCTAACCCGAGTGGCCCCTGGATCCCGGCTGGGCTCCTGTGCAGAACCGCATGGCCGGGCCTGGCTGTTTTCAGCAGCAGGGGACGGCCCTATTTGCATGTGTCCTGCCATATAGCAGGCTCTGGCTGGAGGCTGGGATAGGGGAGCCCAGCTAGTGCCTGGGGATGTTGGGTTATAACACAGTATGCACAGGTGCCTCATTAGTAACAGAGCTGGGTGATCACTGAGCACCCGTTACCTGTTATGACAAGGGTCCAGGTGCTTGTGCTCACATGTGTCTGTGTGATCTTCTCTCATTTAGTTCTTCAGGCTGTGGATTAACCCTTTGTCTGAACTGATATGTGCTAATATTATCTGCCATCCTGTAGGGCGTGTTTGTTATATTGATAATGTCTTTCCTTACAGAGCTTTCAGTTCTATCTAATCCAATT